TTTTTTGATAAATTCACTAATTATTATTTTATTTGATCTTGTAATCGAGGCACAACAATGATATGATGTGGAGATGGAGGAAAGTGTTCAAGGAACAATAATTTTAAGGCGAGTTAATATGCAAAGCAAAATTTGAAACACATGCCACGTTATGTAAGCAAAAATATTATTTGTTTTAGGTGCCTCAAAACAAATATGAGTTTCAAGTCCTAATATGATTTCAAGTCCTAAATCCTATAAAAACAATTCAAGTACTTTGAACTATATTTTACCCATTTCCTTCTTCCTTCTTTCTGCTTTTCCCTTCATTCTGTCTTCCACACTCATCATTCTCATCTTTATCTTCCTTTTAATTACTTCCCCTCCTCATTTCTCTTTACTTCCATCATTTTCTTTCATTTCTTCCTTTTTCTCATCTTCTCTTTTCTTCACTTTCCCTTTTCTTTCATTCATTCCCCTCATCCTCTCTTCCATTTTCTCACATTCTTTTTTCTTCTTACATTCCTTCCTTTAATTTCATCTCCTTTAATTTCTCTCATTTTCTTTCTTCCTTTAATTTCAATCTTATTAGTTTATTTCTTTTACAATTTACAAGTTTGTTTCAATTAATATTGGTATCAATTTTATTTTTTTGCAGGATTTTATAATAGAAACTAAAGCCATTTTAAGGAGCCATCTCATGGTTTTTTTATTTTTTATATTTCATTAAAATTTTATAATTTTTTCTTTTTCATTAAGTTTCCCATTTAGTTTGTAATTTGTAATTAACTATTTCTTGGTGTTAAGGGATGGAGGAACTAAAAAAAAAGTTAGTAATTAACTCTTTACCATTTAGCTTAAATTTAAATATTTTTATAGAATTTTGATTTTGTTGTATAATATTCAATTTAAATTTTTGATATATTTGAATTTGGATAAAATAAATAGATTTTTATATATTAATTAAATGTATTTTATAATTATATATAAAAAAAGCAATTATATGTATTCTATAATTATACAAATATATTAATTTTTTTTGAATTTGAAAATAATATTTCAGTCAAATATTTTGATCGAAATAGTCTAAAATAAAATATTTCTTAATAACATTTTCGGTCAAATATTTTGATAAAAACAGTCTAAAATAAAAGACTTCCTAATAACATTTTCAATCCAAATTTTTGGCTGAAATTGTCCAACATTTTCAGTCAAGATGAAATTTTATCCGAATTATTATTTCATATAGTGGATATTCGGATCAACAATTCGGTCAAATAATTTGATTGAATTACTTCTTATTTGGTCAAAATACCTACTTATTCAGTCAAATATCTTGATTGAATAAGTCTCTATTTATAGTAGTGGAATGAGATTCAAGCCCAATAATATAGAACTTCTTGTCAGGATACTCAATCCAGCTTCTAAGAATTGGGTTTCGAATGGGAAAGACAAATCATAGAGAAGTCATTGACAGATGCATCAATATTTAACAAAAAAATTACTGGTCCCATTCCTAAGGTGAATATGCACATATCCCATAAGGAATTGAGGGTTGAGTTTTGTACTCTTAATGAAATTTGTAGCTCATTGAGTGGGGTGTCTTAGTTATAGGAGCACCTTTGACAAATTTAACCTATGTGGGTATCGAAGTGAGGCCGCTTTTAAGAAAATTAAATGGACAATTTTCTATATCATCCATGAAAACCGAGATCATGTGCAAGGCCATAATGCGCCAACTGTGTGAAAGACTCAACATTCAGATCATTATGTGTGATACGATTCTTGTATCTTCCAATGAGGTCATAGTTCAAGACTTAGTTTACTATTGACTTTGGATTAAGAATTGTTAATTATTGACTTTGGATTAAGAATTGTTAATTCACTAAGTAAATACTTAAGGCTTAGCTACTTTTATTATGCATAATAATCCATCTTTGTCCAAAAGAAAAGTTTATTTTTTTATTAAAATAGTGGGGGAATTATTGGAACTTAAATATTTTAATAAAAAATAAAATAATATTTATAAATTAAATTTATTATCTCATTAAGGACTTGATCAAACTAGCTGTTGTAGGTTAATTGTCATATTTAAGAGCACATTATTTCATAATAATTGCCTATTTTATTCCTATCATCAACCTACAAATGGGAGTTACAAGACCATGAGTTCTATAAATAGAACATATCTATTTGCTTAAAGGAGATAGTTCCTCCACATTCTCCTATTTTCCTTACTTCATTTTATCTTCTAAATATTCTTAGGTAAAGAAAGGTGTTTTAAGCAAAGTGACGCTATGAGTAGTGCAGATCCATAGGGTGTTATTATAAGACTGTAGCATCTTGAGGGCAACATGCTAAATATATCTTTATTTCACCGGTTAATCTATTCTTCCCAGAGGTCTGAATAGCCTTAAAATAAGTTTTTCACACCTATTTTGATAATAATTTCTTATTGATATTTTTTAATAAATTCACTAATTATAATTTTATTTGATCTTGTGATCAAGGCACTGGCACAACAATGACATAATGTGAAGATGAATCGAGGAGAGTGTTCAAGGAACAACAACTGCTCTCTCAGCAACTCCAATATGCTGTCCTTGTTGAGTATTGTCCATCTTTAGCATGACTCCACTCCCATGTGTCTGGTCTACCCTGCTCCATTTGAGCAACTTGTAGGACATTAGCAGCGCAAAAAACTTCTCGTTCCTCCCAACTGAACAATGGCCTTCTCCATTGTAAATTCCATTGCCATGAATCATTGCGCCACCTTCCCATTTGCGCAATCATGTTATCTTTCCCAAAATCTAGGAAATTTGTTAACTAGACTCCCTCCCCCACACCACTCATTCCACCAGAAGTTCACCTTTGTAACCCCACCTACTTTTAACATAAAACCTTCTACTAACCATCCCACCTCAAAAAAATTAACCCCTTGTAAAATTCATCATAAAATATATAAAAGAAAAGAAGGAACTCCTATGTAATCCCACATCTTCTCTTAGTCGTGTTTCCTATCATCAGAAGTGTTTAATATCCAAAAGCTGATAATATGTCCTCTTTTTGCATCTAATTTGCTAATCTAAAACAATGATGATGCGCAAACTCCAGCTTGACTCGGTGCAGAATGAGGTGAATCTTCCCATAAAACAATGCAATTTTGTGTGTCTCGATTAACTTTCTCATACATGTCTAGAATATTTACCCTTACTTCTTTTCAAAAATGTTTTTTTTTTAAGTACAAATTGCATAAAAAAATACAATTCAAATATTAAAATTACCAAAACACTTTTAATGTAATTCTCTTCATATTTATTCATTAATGATATTTAAATAATTATATTAATACTTAAACTGTACTTATTGATGTAGTCCGCACTAATAAACATCAATCTCATTTCTAGTTATATAGTTTAATTTATTGACTATCTTATTTTGTTAGGGTGTCGTCAAGATTAATCATTCAATTTTTCCAGCACTAGTGTTCCCTTGAAAATTTTTTGATGGTCAAAACTAATATGGGTTTGAGAAGGTGTTAGAAACTATCTTTTATTCGATAAGAAAACTTAAAGTATATGAACTAGAATCCGCAGCCATCTCATATAATCTTCTGCCAAAGTTGCTTTCCATACGAATACTACTTACCCTTTCCGATATAGGGACTAAGGAATCCAACCTTCTTGCGTGAGAAAACTTGACGTAATAAAGTTTGCCATCCATCGTGATTATGATACATACATTTGGGTGATTTATGGGGGAAGGAGGATCTAACAGACTTGCACGACTGTCTTAGCGGTATTGCAAAAAGTTGGGTATGAGATTGACGCCCTAGCTTATGGGGTCACTCTATGTCATGCTGGGAAACAGAATCTTGAATTTCAACCAATAAAAACAAGAGGTCAAAAATTTCCCAATAGAAAAACCAGAGAGGATTCTTTATTTGTGATGGTATCTGCCCGATTTTGAAATCATGTAACTGTCAGCTAGCCTGTTTTTGATTGATGAATACTGTAACGTTTAGTGACTTCTGTTGAAGATTTCGAGGTTCCGTGGACCATATGCGAATATAAAATTAACACCCTAAAATGACATATACTCATGTCCATTTTTAATTTAATATGCATAGATGAAATCTTGTCTTTATCCCGATGGTGCACTTGAGGCTCTTAAACTCTGATGAGAGTTTTCAAGTTAATTTCGATTAGTTAATCGGTTTGCTAGGTATTGTAAATTTAAAGTTTCAAATATTTTAATTTTGATTTTCAATTAAAATTTTTAAAATGATGGTATTAATAATTAAGTTCAATTCTTGTTAATAATATTAATTACTCTAGTTAATACAACTTTTGTCGTAGTATATTACATATTATTTTATTTTTATATTAAGGATTTAGAAATAATTTTTATTTTTATTTATTTTATTCTTAAAAAAGAAATCAAATTAAAATTTTTTATAATAAAATAAATAATTAAATTTAATAAAGTTAAAATAAAAAATATTTATTATTATAAAAACAAAGGGAGCATGTAGCTTTTTTTTTTTTTTTTTTTGATCGGCCAAAGTGATGATTTAAATTTAATGGAGTACAAGGGGTACTCCTACCCATATTGTACAGTAATACTTACATTACATCAAAAGTAAATCAAGTCTTATAGATGATTCATCAAAAACTTTAGATATGGTTGCTATAATCTAAGCCTTAGCAGTCATCACCCTCTTGCATGCCTGAATTGGGTTTGAAAGCCATAGATCCTTTGATATATTTGGCCAAAGACTAGCTTTCAACCACATCAATGATCGTATCTTGATTAGCTCAAACATATATATTGCTAAATGTGTCGATGTTTTCCTTAAATACCTTTTGGTTTCTCCATGCCCATAGTGACCAAATAACTACAAACCAGGTTACAAGCCATGCTTGTTTTGATTTTTCTTCAGAGAAAAGTTCTACATGCTGTTGCAAATGGTTCCAGCCTTCATGGTGTTGAGGAACAGCAATACCCCACCAATTGTAGCAGGAGGACCAAACAAGCCATGCTGTTCTACAAGTGAATAGAAGGTGATATGTTTCTTCAGGATATTGTCCACATAAAGTGCATGTCAAATCCCTCTCAATGCTTCTTATTCCCCTTTTCCACAAATTATCCTTTGTTGGAATTTTGTTTTGTGTGGCTTTCCAAGCAAACGCAGAGACCTTTAAAGGTACATTTTTATTCCAAATCAACTTGTAGTTATCAATTCTACCTGGGTTGGAGTTGATTTGAAGCAGATTGTAAGCTGATTTCACCGTGTATTTACCCTTGTGATCTTGCTGCCAAACCCAATAGTCCTCTTGTCCCTAGATTAGTTGTTACCCTTGTAATGTGTCTGTGAGTTCCCGCAAAAGCTCAAGTTCCCAAGCCAAAAGATTCCTCCTCCATCTCCATCTCCATTTCCATTCTCCATCCTCCCATTCCCCCATGTTAGAGATTAATGCATCTTTGTCCCCTGATATCCTAAACAATCTATTAAATCTAATATTTAAAGGAATAGGCCCCACCCACTTATCATGCCAAAACAAGGTCTTTGATCCATCCCTAACCACTTTCTCAATGTTCTCACTAAGCCATCCTTCACTGCCAATCCCCATTGTATCTAGTCGCCACAGCTCCTTCCACCAACTAGAACCATGCACATCCCATTCGCCACCCCTCCGTTCATTAATTCTATTCACCTTATATTTGACCTCTAGTACTCTCCTCCAAAGAGCATTTTCTTCCTCTAGCAATCTCCATCTCCACTTTCCTAGTAAAGCTACGTTGAAGGTACCCAAATTCTTAACACCTAACCCCCCCTCATCCTTGCTTTTGTAAACACTGTCCCACCTAACCCAAGAGATCCTATTATTTTCCTCACTACCACCCCACAAGAATCTCCTTTGAATTAATGATAATAGATTAATTACCTTTTTGGGTGCTTTTAGTGTTGAGAAGTAATAAACCGGGATGCTTGAAAGGACAGCTTTTAGGAGAATAATACGACCACCAAAGGACAGAGAGTCGCATCGCCAAGAAGACAATTTCCTCCTTAAGCATTCAATAACCGGAGCCCAAGTAGATATCTTCCTAGGGTTAGCACCAACAGGAACTCCAATATACTTAAAAGGGATATCGCCCACCACACAATTAATCGAATCAACCATATCAGACAGCTTATCACCTTCCACATTAATACCAGATAATGAGGTTTTAAAGAAGTTCACCTTAAGGCTAGATATGAGTTCAAAGCTTCTACAAATGCCTTTTATCGCCCAAACATTCTATGGAGATGCCTCACTGAAAATAATTGTATCATCTGCAAATTGTAGATGCATGATGGCAAGGTCCCCGGAACCAACCAATACTCATGTTAGCATCCTTTCCCCTAAAGCTTTTGTAATTAAACCATTAAGAGCTTCAGCTACTACCAAGAATAAGAAGGGAGCAAGTGGGTCGCCTTGCTGCAAACCTTTTGACATTTTGAACTCATCAGTAGGACTCCCGTTCACCAGCACTGAAGTAGTTGCAGAGGCTAAACCTTCCTGGATCCATAAATGCCATTTTTCACAAAATCCCAACTTCTGCAACATGCAGTCAAGAAAACTCCAGTTAACACTGTCATACGCCTTCTCAAAATCTGCTTTGAAGATTAAAGTAGGCCTCTTTCTCCTTTTTGCATCATGAATCAGCTCATTTGTTATGATAATACCATCCGCAATATGCCTCCCACCAATGAAAGCTGATTGGTTTTGGCTAATAATGGAATTCATCACCTTCCTCATTCTGTTAGCCAATAGCTTAGCCACAAGTTTCTACATACAACCAATAAGGGAAATCGGCCGGTATTCTAATAAAGGGAGCATGTAGTTGTTGTTAATTATTTGATTCTTTAGTCAGAATAGCTATAATTTTTAAGCAATAATTTAAATTTCTCTCTTGCTTTTATGGGCTAAACGCCTCCTCATGATCCCTACTGAGGGAATCAAAGCGACCTTTGCGAACTAATCAACCAAAAAGGCAAAATAGTCAGCTTAATTTAGTTATTTGTTTAATATAATTATTGTTCTGAGGGTTTTTTTTTAGCTTTTATAAATTTTATAATTTTAAACAAAATGTCTATTTATTTTTATGTGTTTTTATAACATATTATCATAATTATTAAATAAATAAAAAATAGTAGTTTTAATATTATTAAATAGATTTATATTATTTGTTGTCAGTATTTAAATTTGTCTTAAATAAATTATTAGTTTTTAATTTTTAATTTTAATTTTTAATAATTATAAATTTTATGAAAAAAACAAAACAAAATTAAAAATCAAAAACCACATAATCAAACTGACCAGAGCCTAATTTCCTCTTTTCTCAGTTTGAAATCAAATCATCTTCTAATGTAACTTACAAATTAAGTGAAGTTAATTGTGCTAATAATTTAAGATCATTATTTATTAAATTTCTCTCTTGCTTGTATGAGCCAAACATCTCCTCGTGATCCCGATTGAGGGAATTAAAGTGACCTCGGCATCAACTAAAATGACAAAATATTCAGCTTAATTTTGTTATCTTTCCCCCCTCTAGTTATTGAAATCAAATTATCTTCCACTTATAATATTATATAAAAAAATAATTTGTATACTTTTCGGTTCAATATATCTAACAATATCCATCGATTTAGCTATTAAAATTTG